TTACGGGACCATCAATGTCAAAGAATTCGACAATGATTTGAGGTGGATTCACTTTCACTCCTTCGGGAACACGATTGAAAGTCACTGAAGATTTCACGAGCGTCAAGTCCCACATGGGACTCATAGTGTCGTGAATCACAAAGGTCTCGAGCAGAACGTTGTCCAACAGCACTCGAGCGATTGGGTCGGAGAAGCCGGTGGGGTTGGAGGCCAACAGATTTTTTGCCATAAAGAGGTAGCATCGCAGTTCGAAAACGCTCGATTCTGGATTGTTTACAATAAAAATGAGCTTAAGGAAGAAGTAAATGTAAATTAGAGGATAGGCAAACGAGTCCGAAATATAGTATGATCGGACTAAAGTGAGGAGAAAACACATACTTTTCAGTAACAACTTCGCACATGTATACAATCTGAATTTGTGCTTTCCGAAGCCGGATCTGACAGCTAACTTACTGAAACAACGGCGGCATAGGCATATACTAACCTCTGTAGAGGAGTGATCTTGGTGGAGTCAGATCTGCGATACACGTTTCGTCATAGCCCAATGGTAAGCCACTCTTGTAGGCACGGTAGTCCTTCAACAAACCAAGCCACATATAGACTTGGATCTGACATTGCATCCGCCAGCCTTTTTCTCCAACACCTTCGTGGCCGGGTTTCTAGAACGAAAAATACGTAAAAGGTAGCATGTAAAAACAAAGAAAATAACATCAAAGTTCATGTTATATGAGTTTTTTCCGCCATCTTTCTTCGCTGGATACATAAGGACTTAACACTGGCGTATTCAAAGACATATTTCACCTAGGTTACAATACGGCGGTGCCCTGTCATTTAGTCCGGCTTTAAAGTTTGCCGTTTGTCTCGAATCTCTTGCTCGGAACATTGGCAGCCGAACTTGTTGCCTAGCAGTCAAAATTCCAGGAGGCCAACCGACCAAAATTCCCTTCTCTCATCTCTTGGCCGTACAGGTACTAGGGTTTGGTTAAGTCATCTGTGTTGCTCGACGAAGGCTAGCATTACCTGCGGAATAGGGGTGATTAACCACTGACTGAGCTTATGGTGAGAAGGAATCGAGCCACCGGCGTCATTCAAACGCTGCCCACCTGGTTCCACTAATCGTACCGAGTTAGGAAACCCTTTGATGTGATGGCGGAGGAATTATTTCGCTACTATTACATGAAGAACATACTTGCTGGTCTTTTGATAATGGATAAGAATGGGAATGAAAAGCTCATCCACTCTTATATATGCAGCGCCCAAGCTGTAGAGTACA